TTTCCCTGTAAGGGCCGCCTGCACTAACATTTCCGCTGGGGAAGGGATCGCAGCTTCAGAAGAAAGCTTCACATCCTGAAGCTCCGGATATTCGGATTTCGCGCTGTCTACCTATCCGTAAGTACTCCCACCATCCTTCACTATGAACATATTGAGAAGCGAGAAGCTGTACAAGCCGCATTTTCCAGCTTTTTGTAGGATCCTCTGATGATCCCTGGGGGACGAACATCTATTCTTCAAAGTCATTTTTCTTTCTCCGAAGTTAACGAAAACCTTCCAAAGTTGTACTAAACATCTAACGCAACAGTGCTAAGCATGTTGCTGATGAGAACAAATAATTTTTTGAAAAATCGATTTTTCGGTAAACCCCAAATTTCGACCTGTGGAAGGTTTTCGTTAATTTCGGAGAAAGAAAAATCATCATCGAAAATTTCATGACTTCAAAACATCATTTGTTCTTATAAGCAACATGCTTAGCACTGTTGGGTTAGATAATCTGCACAACTTTGGAATTTCGTTAACTTCGGAGAAAGAAAAATGCCTTTAAAGAAAAGCGCCGGGGATCATCAGGGATCATTCAAAAGCTGGAAAATGCGGTTTGTACAGCTTCTCGCTCCCGTTCAACATGTTCATAGTGAAGGATAGTAGGAATACTTACGGATAAGTACACATTGTGAAATCCAGATATCTAAAGTTTCGAAATATGAAATTTTCTTTTAAGCTGCGATCCCCCCCCGGCGGCCATGTTAGTTCATGCGGCCCTAAGCTGCTTTGTAAACTTGAAATTCGACAATCTGTTGGTAGTATGTTACTTGAACTTGGGAGGGAGAGAAGAGGAGTGGAAAGAAAAGTAAAGCTGGTCTCGTATTCTTTGTTATCCATCGTCACTTCTTTCATCGATCATCGAAATTCTTTTCAGTTGATCAGTTCTTAACTCCGCGATGGTTGCTGGAATGTAGGCTCCAAAAACAGTTCTTTCCCTGAGTTTCACTGGTAAAAGATAACGGGCCTTCAACATCTGCAATATAAACTAAGACTAGGATTAACGTTAAACGTTATTCTTGATCCTGTCAAGTCAAGATGGGTCGAGCAGGGTCAAGCGTAGGGTATGGCACCGCCACATCTGGACGGTCGTAGAGGGGTCAGGAAGAGGGGGGGGGGTTGTTATCGAGGTGATAGTGATGTTAGCGACATTATGTCTTCAACAATGTCTGATAGGCCCATTGTACGAAATACCAGCACTGATGATTTGGCCTACCGTCGTACACGCACAGTAGGCATATTAAAAGAATCCTAAAAGAACAAGAGCTTATTTTGATAATCAGCATGTCAAATAACTCCTGTGGGCCATGTTTCAGCGAATTTTGAGGTGTCCAAATATTGGGACACTCGAGTGAGGTGATCATTTTCGACGTGCTAACTTTGTTTCAAAAGTGAGTAAACTACTTCTTTTGCACTCATTACAAAGTACCGCTACTTCTTTACTCGCATTACGAATCCCACTTCAACTAAACTCCAAACGTTGAAATTATGAGCAAGCCAAAATCTTGTTTTCCCATTCTCATAGTCAATTCTTCGGACTAAAAAGGCCAATCAGGCTCAAATTACTTTTGTGAAAGTTACGAGAATCAGGCTATCGAATATGATTGTCCTTGCTGCCCTCCCTCGCGATTCACGTAGTAGCGCAGAATTGCTTATTACGGTAGTCCAATATTTTTGCAGTGTTTTTCATTTGCTTAGCTAAGGAAAACGACTATATTTTTTCCTAGGAGAAACAGTTTTGGATGAAATTCCTGCTATGTGGAGAAAAAGGATTTAGCAGTAGCAACCATATGAAAAAGACAGAGATTTGAATGCTTTGAAGGTAAGCAAATGGAGTGTGGCACAACCCCTACACCCCCCCCCCCATTAACTTGCTTTCGAAAAAAAATTTTAGCGAACAAAATATATATACTTTGATAGCTTAAGTCTTTTAGTTTTCATAGGAGTAGTTTGGGCCCTATTCATTTTCTTCGCTCTGAACAGCTGGTGAAAACGAGCCACTAGAAGCGAAAAATGGGACAAACGAGATTTTGGCTTGCTTCTAGTTCCATAGTTTGATGGTTATTTGAAACGGGATCCATGACATGGGTAAATAGGGAGTAGTGCTTTGTATAGAGTACAAAAAGAGTTAGATAATTTACTTCTGAAACATAGTTAATCATGCTTGAAAATGACCGCTTCACTTGAGTGGTCCAATATTGTGAACCCTGAGAATTTGCTAAAACTTTGCCTATGATGGTTATTTGACATGATAATTACGAATATGTGTATGTTATGCCTACGGAAGGCAAACTATAATGGTCGTGGTGGTGATGGGGGGGGGGTCCTATCCGGAGCTTGTGTGCCGCACCTCTTGCTCGACCCTGATCGCGAACAGGGTTAGTTGTATCACGACTCTGAATTTTTTGAACTTGACAAATGCGAATTGCATTTATTCAAATAAATTATGCCAAGTACAAGACTTACAGTACTACTCTGTTCCATAGAGTGTCGAAAACCTCTCAAAGCATAATGAGTCTTTTGAACATATGTCTTGATTTTTTGAGTAAGCAGCTCGATGTCGCAAATTTGTGAAAGCAGTCAACTACAAACTTTGTCAATCTCTTTGTGTTAGCTTTGAAAAAAATTTTTAAGAACAAAGATTATGCAATTTTTTTGTTTGAGGGGCGGGGATACGATTATTGATGATTTAGCGTGCGCTTATAGTTTTGTTGGGCTGGATCCGTTCTGGGTTCGGTTCGCATGGTGGCACCCGCGCGCATGCTTCTGAGTAATGGACTTTCAATTTCAAAAATTTCCAAGATAAAAGTCCTCCAATTAGCGCAAATGACCGGGAGGCCTCGCCAAATGGGGATGTAGTTAAACGTAAAGAAAAGTGGATTCTAGCCTTGAGTGTGCTTAATTTAAATTCTCTGCTTAGCCCGTTCCTCATACGACGGAAGGAAGCATGCTTGAAATTCAGTCACTTGCTTCTGGTTCAGTGCAGCCGAGATTATCTCAAAGTGATGCGGAATCTATCTTCTTTTGCCCAGTATAAATTTCTTTCCTATATTCATTGTTATAGGCAGCCTGGACCTCTGCATCGAACGCCGACTGTAAGGCTGCGTCTGTCTACATCCTTCCAGAACGATGACGGTTGTGATGCGATAGTGCGTCTTAATTTGTTCTTGTTTTTTCACTGGCTGGTGTCAGAAGTATTTGGAGTGTCGTAAATGTATTCGATTTGGACATCACCACAGGATACCACCTTAGAACGCGTGCTACTTTATTAAGAAATGTTTCACAAATACCTGGTTTGATCGAGCCACACAGCTTCGGAGAGGTGGGACCACAAAACTATTGTTAGTAACATCTCATCTCATCAAAGCCTGGTAGTATACTTCGTCATTACTGAGTTGTTAAACATGTGTGTTATGAAAACAGTCGTGTTTCCTCGATACTGTGTTCTATAGCGGTATCAGGTTGAAGTCGTCTGGAGTCATTCAGTAGGAACTCCAGACCCTTCACAGATAGACACGACCTCGGCCTAACTCTGTTTCGGTGGGTTAGCAGTGAATGAAAATTTGCGATGATTTTGTAGATCAGTTATAATTTCTTTGCATATTAATAGTGGATGAGAAAAGGTTTAGGTGAAAGAAAGAGTTTTTACTCTGTGAACGGAACCGAGGCCGATTACAGCATGCTAGCTAAATGCGTTTGTGGGTCAGTTTTGAGTGTGGCTGAGCATTAGCATCACGATTGTGTACCAAGTTGAATCATAAGTAATTAAAGAGATTGTTCGCTTATGTTCCACAGTTAGAATTTCTAGTGAATCTAATATTTGATGCTCACTTGTTCATTGAAATTTGAAGAGTGCGTAAGGGTTTGCAAATCACGGAATGTAGTCAGTTACAATAGATTTCGAATCTACACTACTTGGTATAACGGTCATAAGTGATCAAGCAATACTTTGCTTTTACGAACGCTTCTAACATGACATTCATGAATCGATCACGGATGCATACATACATTGGAGAATATTTATGTGCGAAGAACACACAAACGTAGAATTCGTGGAGGCCATTTCTTGTCTTATCCAAAGTGTCGGCTGAGTTGTATATTTTCGAGCAGTCATGATCCTCTCATTGGTTAGCATTAGCGTTCTAACTGCGAACACAGCTATATAAGTTCAAAGGAACAAAGGATTCAGCCAAGAAGCAATACACAGCAATAGCACCCTCGAAGCTGAGTTTGCTGAGTAATGCTGGAGAATTTGGTGGAATTCTAAAACGTTGATGTCGAAATGTAGGCGACGCAAACGTTCTTGTGTACTTTCTGACCTTATTTATCTAATCCAGCATAATGGGATTATGTTAGCTTATTATCGATGCATACTCTTACATATAGGATCACCGACACAACTGATGTTGACGCCTACATGTGCGGATCACGAAAAACAAATGAAACCTTTTCCCTTTTCATATGTAGAAAAGCAATAAGTTCCAAATAACTGAATAGGCGCACTTAGGAGTTGCAGGGTATCCTCGATTGCGCTAGTCAAACAGGCAGTACAAAATTAGGTAGCGGCTACTGAAGTAGAAGCCAATGTTTTCATTAACATCGCCTTGCGCATGGCAGCCTTCGCTATCCTGGGATAGGCGCAAAGTCTTTGTTTACACATTTGAGCCTATGAAAAGTGGTGCATGGCAATGTCATATTCATCCAATGCGCGCCCCAACGCTACTCACGGCTGCCGCGCGCGAACCGCCGCCCGCGCAGCCAGCCCGGTAGGAATAGATGGCGCCAAAAAAGAGAATTCAAATGACTTTCTGGACATCAAAAAATCAGGTTATCTTTAATGTGTTTTCATCCTTCTTGTTTCTTCCATTGTCAGCGTTTTTTCGTCTTTGTTACGATCTCTCTTTTAGTAAATGATTTGTCAACGTTTTTTCTTCTTACTCGTTACGATCTCTCTTTCAGCAATTGATGAGGAAGTTGCTGCAAACAGCATCTTGGAAACTTCATCGAATTTCTTGAATTCCGTCATATCGGGTAGGAATTTTGACAAGCGATGGGTCATTGATACTGTATCCATCATCATATATGTGAGTTCTTACGATCTTCGTAGAGGTTAATTCTCAACTTGTCTCAATAGGCGCGCAATCGGGCCTCTTCTATACTTTTCGAAGGGCTTTCCAATATACTTACTGCCGCTCATGAGATTGATCGTGCTGTTATTCTGTCATCATTCTAGTTTATCTCAAAGGTCAGTACTAATCCTTCTTGTGCTTTTTTTTACTTCTTATTATGTGTTTTCTTTTGATTCCTTTTGTGTTTTGTTTTTCCCCTTTTTCTTCTAATCTTTCCCTACTTTTCTAAAATGATTCAAATAGTGGCGGTCGGGCAGGAGGCAGCAAAGGCAAGCCGCTTCTGCTCGTGGAAGTACCTGGAGAACTTCAGACTTTCTCGCGCCTCTAATTACTTCTTCGCACTTCTAATTACTTGATATGACCTATGCCAAATTGATCGTTGATTTCAAGCGTGGCAAGTTTTAGATAGCTTTTTTGTTTTGAATTTATAGCAAATAAGATAACAAGTTCAAAAAGGACTCATAGATAGCCATTCAACGTCAAATGATTTGAAGAATTATGAATTGGTCTATTCAATCTTCAAACCAGAATCTCAATTATGAATCTCAATCCCAACAATAGATCTTTCTCAGTTATTCCGATCGAAGACAGGGACTTTGAAGACTAATTGTACTCGTCCTTTATTTTGCGGCAGAATCATTTCCTTCTGTTAAGAATTTTGGAGTAAAATGTCCTGAACCTATCATTTAAATAGGCTGAAAACGATTATAGCTGAGATTGAAAGAAATTGCAAGATTTTCAAATTGATCCAGACTGAGATACTCTTCAAAAAGATTTCCGTTCAATCCTCTAGCTTGTAAAGTAATCAGAGGTGCGAAAAGTGATTAGAGGCGCGAGGAATCTGGAGCTCCCCAGGTACTTCCAGAAGCAAATGCGGTAAGCCTTTGCTGCCTCCTGCATGAAGTCCTCAAATAGTAGAGCTTATTGAGCGTACATCATCTTGGACTGGAACTTTTAGGTTGTACTTCGCTGTCGCTCATCGGAATCTGCAAAGCCTTTGCCGATAATCTGTCATCTCATTGAGCTGGTAATGAGCAGTTTAATTATTATATGTCTTGATCACTCACCGTTTTGAGGCTGGATGTAGCGCGGCTGAGAAAATTCGAGCACGTTGGTCTTTTGCTTCAGTGTATGCTTTATGCTGACGCGGAATTGAAAGAAAAGGAAAGAATGGAAGTTGCTGAGGGTGGGAACATAGCATTGTCACGCTTTAACAACTTTTCTGCATGACTTCCAGTTCCAACTGACGTAAATGTATGAATTGCAGAGGACATAACAGTGCAGAATCAAGGGCTTGATGATTGTCATAAATTGGGGAACTGTTCTTGCAGAGAGGCGTATAGAGGTGATTTTTCTTACCTAAATTATGCAAAATTCTTAGTGAATTGCATTATTTGAATGAAATCAAGTATGCATCAGTACACGCAACAGCAATTCGTGCTTTGTGTCAATTACCAATGAGTGATGAACCTCATGTTGACAAAGACAACAAAGAGTTCTTTCCTAGTGACTGTAAGTTTGCAGCTGTTTCGCAGTCGTGGATTTATTGTAGCAATGGCTAGCATCCTTGATTGAAACCCAGAGTGAGACGTCTGCCTTCCAGTGATATTCGACTCATTGCGCGATTATGCTGCTGAAGTTCGAGAAGCGCTGCAGTCATTTGTCTTTCGCATCGAGCTTGAAATTGATCGTTTCATAGAATTTCTTGAAAAGAAGGATGACTGCGAGGTGAAAATCTCTTACATCTTGTAAACTATCCTATGTTAAAACTGCGTGGCCGTGACTTTTTCTTTTCAGTTACTCAAAGCTCTCGTCCAACATTTGATCACATCGACCTTTATACGCTCGTTCAGTGATGACTCTCGGTTGCGGTTTCTGCGTTCACTAATGACTGAACGGAGCTGTGAGTTGTGATTATACTTCTTGAGTTTCGACGGTCTTGCCCCAATACATGCTTGACATTTCTTAGGCACCCGCCATACTTGATCCGCTTGATCCGCTTAATCCACTTGATCCGCTTAATCCGCTTGATCCGCTTCGTGCAAAACGCGCGCATAAGCAGTTTGTCGTTTGGCGTCGCGTAGGTGAAAAGTAATTTCGTATGGTTACGCACTTTGGCTGTACGCGACGCCAAATGACAAACTGCTTATGCGCACGTTTTGCACGAAGCGGATCAAGTGGATCAAGTGGATTAAGCGGATCAAGCGGATCAAGTATGGCGGGCGCCTTAGCTCACTGTTTTCTCCCGCTCTCCACTGGAATTTTGCTTTAGAGCGAGCTCACCTAGCGAGTAGGAATGAAGCCCGTATGAATAAACATCTCTGCGGCGATGGAAGCGGTCCCCCAATGATGAAAGTGTGGCAGAGGCATTCGCCCGCGCCTCATTAACAAGGACGCCGCTTCTCTCGCCGCAGGGATGTTGATGCATATGGGCCTAAAATGATGCCTTTCGTCTACTTGTCATGTGATTTGAATTTTTTATCACGATTTCTGCAGAGTTTATACACATTCTCCCATGACGGTCATTGAAAGTTTCTGTACCATGCGCTTGCCTTTTTTAGGCCCTGCATGTGTCTGCGACGTATCCTGCGGCCATATACCCACGTCTACGCGGCGACTGAGCTGGAGAGCGTGAAGACATGCCGAAAGTCTACGTTACGCAAACGGCGCATAATACAGTCGGATTATGCATCTCCAAGTTGACTTCCAAACTTCTGTCCTTCCCTTTCCATTTTTTCTAATAAGGCGGCCGACTACGGCCCTAACCAGCCGTAAGTGGACAGAGCAGATCCTGTTACGCGTGCCTCAATGCTGCCCCTTGCGTTAAAACGGAAAGGCGCTTTGCAAAGTATAAGAGACCTCGGTTTTGATTTATACAAATAACATATTTTGGATGATATTAATAACCATGTTTGCCAAAGTATACATGCAACTAACGGTATTCATACCAGTGCTGGACTATAGACTGCACAGGTTACGAATGCCACTAATCCTTCGTCCTTATTTGGCTGACATAATCTTTCAATTAGTAGGTCGTCCCGAAAATTTGTCGGTTTTTTCTCACTATAAGACTACGCACAACGAAGATTTGAAAGAGCTTCAGCATGCATTCGATGCAGCTTTTCCTTTTCTTTTTTTTGGTTACATTTTCAAACCACAATCCTGTAAGCTTTCTTTGATAATTGCTGAAATTCTTTACCCGTCATTTTTGTCTGCCCAAAGTTCGGCTAATTTTGAAAATTTCATTCCAGAGTTTCAGAAAGGGTTAAGTAAAAATTATAAGAGCAATTCTCGGACTACAAAATGATATTTTTAGATTCCACTAATCTGCTATTTTCGCTTCAAAAATGATTTCTTCGTAGGTCTCGATTTTTGGCAAAGTCATGAAACACGCAACTGCAGCAAAAACATAAAAACTTCTGAAGTTTCTGCAAATTACAACATGATTCTTATTGAATACTGTTTATGTAACATTACCCAGTTCGACTTGCTTTGAAAAAGCAGCTTTTTTGGGATTTTCGGTACTTTTACGTGGCAAACGTAATCAAAAGGCCGCGGTTTTTATTCAATAAATAATTATAACGGACTTGGTATAAATGTGACCCAGTAATCTAAAACGGGTAACAATATAGCCAAAGCTTTGCTCTACATAAAAGTTACCAGCGCTCCTTAAAAGTGTCGGGATAGAAGTTTTTAAAATTCAGGAAAGGTTTGGCGTTCTGTTGAGCTGCTCAAAATGCTATGGCGATAACATCGCAAAGACAGGGCAAGTTAGAGAGCAAATATAGCTGTAAGAAAGAAGATGAAAATCTAAATCAAATGGTACCTAGAACGTTTATGGACTGGTGTTCTGTAAGTTTCAGTGAACGATGAATAATACCGACAAACCTTTCGGGACAACCTAATATTTCATCGTACTTCTCCTGAAAAGCGCTAGCAGTACTTATGAAAATGTTATACTCTATTTCAATCCCAGAAAACCACCAGTTTTGTCAAAAAACATCTCTACGGCATCGGGACCTGCTCAGGGATAAGCTAGCAAGGCCTTCTTGAAACTGCTTACCTTGTAGACGAAATGAGTTCCGCGAAAGCGAGCCAAGAAAATATTCACAGGCAATTTTTCTGCCGAAAACTTATCGGGCATTGGGAAAAGCCCATCACGATCGAAAGAGTAGATTGCATTGCGGTCCATACATGAGCAGCGTACTTTTGTATTTATATGAATCTGAGAAGGAATATGTGTGTAATGCACATAACTTTGAACTTTCTTACGTCAGCTTCGAGAACCACTATGCGCAGGAACGTGTCGCCACGCAGTCCGAACCAGTGCGACACCAGGGCGCACATCAGTGGGTTCATTTTCTCGGTTAGGGAACTTAGAATAAAAGGCCCTGAAAATGCAAAGGTTTTTGCGCAAGACATTGCTGGAAACAAGCAAAACTCAAAGTGGAATCATGCAAAGACCATGAAAATGCATAGATTTCCATGCAGGTATCTTATATATAAAGCTGAATGTCTGTTTGTCTGTCTGTCTGTCTGTCTGTATGTCTGTCTGTACGTATGTTCCGAATAGAAAATTCCATTTCTGAACCGATCCGGACCAAACTTGGCACACATACACTTCGGGCCCCGGCGGGTGTCATAGGCTACTTTTCGTCATCGATCGATATCGATTTTATCGAATTTTTGCAAAATTTGAGCTACGGGGCTGGGAGTTGGTACAGGGGGGTAATCGAGCATGCTGATTACGAATAAAATAATGACAGGGCCGGGCGGAGCCGGGTAAGCCATCTAGTAGCTTATAACCTACTCCTCACCCACGGAAACCTAACAAAAAAATGTTTATATTCTTAGCTGATGAATTGAAAAGGCATTAACAATATAAAAAGCACATAAATCAAGAGATTGTTGACAGCAGGCCTGCCACACTGTCATCTGCCAGCTGCAATCCGTTAAAAGTTCCGTTTCTGTTTTTGCGTATCAAAACTTTTTCCAAGTACCTTAGGTCATCACCAGGGTAAAGCGGGGGGTGCGGCACTCGACCGTCGGATACGACCCCCCCCCCTGATTGCTGTCTTAATAAGCCCCCTCCTAAACTATACACTTAAGATAGTATTACCTGAAGGCTCTGTCAAACATAATGGACAACATATCCATAATTAGCATGTCAAATACCCCCTGTAGACAAAGTGTGAGCGAATTCTGAAGATTCAAGATACGAGGCTACCTAAGTGAAATGGCCAAATTCCAACATGGTTAACTTTGTTTTAAAGGTGAATTAGCTATCCGTTTTTGCACTCAAGACAAAGCACTACTCCTTCTTTGTCCACCTCAGGAATCCCGCTTCAGAAGACCTCCAAACTGTGGAATTAGAAGCCAACCAAAATCTCATTTTTCCCATTTTTCGCTTTTGATGGCTGTGCTTTCACCAAATATTACTCAGAGCTAAGAAGACGAATCAGGCTCAAAACATCCCTATGGAATCTACGAGGTTTAGGCTATCGATTCATATAAATATTGTCCGCTAAAAATGTTTTTTTGATATAGTTAATGGCCTGCGGCACCCCTGCGGCACCCCTGCGGCAGCCGCAGGTTTTGAGGGGGGGTGCCGCAGGCCATTAACTATATCAAAAAAACATTTTTAGCGGACAATATTTATATGAATCGATAGCCTAAACCTCGTAGATTCCATAGGGATGTTTTGAGCCTGATTCGTCTTCTTAGCTCTGAGTAATATTTGGTGAAAGCACAGCCATCAAAAGCGAAAAATGGGAAAAATGAGATTTTGGTTGGCTTCTAATTCCACAGTTTGGAGGTCTTCTGAAGCGGGATTCCTGAGGTGGACAAAGAAGGAGTAGTGCTTTGTCTTGAGTGCAAAAACGGATAGCTAATTCACCTTTAAAACAAAGTTAACCATGTTGGAATTTGACCATTTCACTTAGGTAGCCTAGTATCTTGAATCTTCAGAATTCGCTCACACTTTGTCTACAGGGGTTAATTGACGTGCTAATTATGGATATGATACGAAATATCATGTTATCGCTATAATCAGATCACCTAACTACGACCCCCTCCCCTTTTGACTCCTCAATACGACCCCCCCTCTGCGGCGTGCCGCACCCCCCGCTTTACCCTGGTCATCACTAATAGCATCCAAAGCGTTCTTCACCTCCTGCCGACCTCATCGCAAATTATGAAACAACGTGGAGGTTTGAACGCCATAATGGCACACTGGAAAATCGTTATTTCTTGTTGGAATCATCCTACATATATTGCTTGATCTGGTGATACACTGCCCAATATGTAAAGCAGCTGCGAGACGTTTTACTGCACCAGCTAAAAACGTATTTTTCGTGGCATACCTCTCGAAACCCGCACTTCTGGACATCGAACGTGAATTTCGCGTCTGGCAGCCATACGAAGTTCTCGTCAATAGCAGCACCAAACCAGCTTTGCTTCCTATGACGTCTACCTGCTCTGGATGTGGAGTTCTGATCATACCCGTGGTTCGACAAAGTCTTCAATGAAAAGTGTCAGTGACAGCAAATGACTTTGCAAACGGTGTTCACCTGGAAGATCTATGGACAACTGAAAAAACGCTGGATTGTAGTCAACCAGACGTTTTTCGAGTTTCTTTAGAGTGCTCCATCTCAGGTATCCCTCCCTTACCAAACGGTCGATAAAGATTTTGGAGGATTTTCCCTGCGTTGGCAAGCACAAAACAGTAAACGACCAAGGCCACGCACAAAGAATTGAAACGAATTTGCATGATGTCCCTACAACGTGTGCGTAAGTGACTCCTCTCAAGAATAGGACATTTCGAAGAAACATTGCTTCTTGCAACATTTGCAGAAACGAAAGGTGGACTTCTCACAGAGCCTGATTTTCTAGTAATGATCGCGTTAGCATATTCCTCCCGCGGACCTGTTAAAATTATATCATACAGTAAATTTCTTAACGGAAAACGCAGAGGCGGCCTCCTGCGACTGAAGCTTCAACGTTTTTAAAGGCAGTGGATCAGCAAAGTGGACCCTAGTTAGATTCTGGTAGCCCTAGATAGTAGTTCCCTAATAACGGCAGCCCTACCCTGGGTGGAGGACATTAGGTCGCCGAAAGTGAGGAGGTCCCACGTGGATAAGGCAGCAGATACTTAGCCTGTGCATGCACTGGAATGTGTATTTGTTGCAAATGTTCGGCGGGACCGGCGACCTAATATCCCCCACCCCCCTACCCTTCAGTTCATGCCATGAGCCTTGAAAAGGCGCTTCAAACTCCATCAGCTCCGCCCACTTATACGCCGGAAGACTTTCACACCCCGCCCCCTCGTTCCAGGGCCCTCCAGCCTCCACGTTTCCAAAGGATGTGAACCTTGACCTGAAAAGCTTCGGAAAAAGCTCATTTCGTCATTTCCAAGCGCTGAAAAGCTCAGATCTGGATCCCTCATAGCGAAAGGGCTCCGGAAAGGTGAAAAACTGGGAAATGGAATATTGCCAGGACACGGCCTTTGTGTCCAGGAACTCACGATACCCAGCGGGTAGTATTCGAATGCTTTGCTGTTACCAGCTTTCATTCCACAAGTGATGAAAATTTGGAAGGCATACATGTTAAGATATTTTAGTGGATTGGAACTCCAAAACATTTGCCAATTTTCTGCAAAAAACGTAAGGCATGTTTCTGCTACTGAAGGGTACGTTTGGTGACAGATGGCTTACACTAAATTATAGAGACTCACCACTCCTCTAGGCGTGGTGAGTGTCTTCACTAACATTTGGCTCGTTCTCTTCGTCAGTTTTATCAAGGCGGAGATTGTACGCCTGGAAACGTCACTGGTAGAAGGGAGAATAGTCAACAAGAAACATACCTGATGAGGATTGGTGACAGAAAAACGAATTCGTGAGGAATGCATACTTGAACTTACAGCTCTGTATCTACTATTGGAATCAAAGCATGCTCAAGCAAAGATAAAATTAAAAAAATTCCTCTAACCTATATCTGCACGTTCGTGTTCTGCGAGAGTGTTTCTTCACAGCGAGCGAGCTTATATTTTCACTGCGACAGCAGCGGTGAGCGGC